GAAAGCTAGAGAAGAAGTCTCTGAGCCCCTCCCAGTCGGCATGTCCGTAGTGCCAAGTTTTGTGGCCTGTGCGAGTTTCTGCTGCCACAGCGGCTTCTGACCGAAACCTAACCTCCACAACACCGTGATCTGAGTTACCCAGGGGGGACAGGACAGCAGTGCTGTAAGGGGCAGGATGCGTGGTCAGAAAGAGATCCAGCAGGCTACTGGCGTGTGACGAGACGCGGGGGAAAAAAGTAGGGCTCGTCACCAGCTGGGTCAGCCCTTGAGTAAGAGCGAACGCTTCGACTGCACGACCTGCTGCATCGGTCTTATTTGAGCCCAACCAAAGCTCATTATGGGCATTGAAATCACCGAGAAGAACTACCTCTGAAGCGGAGTGATTGATGTTCAGGAAGTCGATCTGGACGGCGAGGTATTCGAGTAGGTCATCCCAGTTATGGTTCAAGGGAGAGCGATAAAGGCAGCAAATAAATTTGGGTGATGTTTTGGAGTTGAGGCGAAGCCACAGAATGTCCTTCCGGTCTGATTCCAAAGAAAGATCCCTGGAGCAGGAAAGACTGCTGCGGACAAAAGCCACAACTCCCCCGTTCTTTCTCAGATTGGAGGGCACCTCGTAGTTTGGGAAGTTGAGATGGTTAATCGGTGCAGTCTCTGAGATTTTTGTTTTGTATTGGTAGATAACCGACTGCATAGCTTAGGTGTGGAAACATGCGGACATTTATAAGGCACCCTGGGAAAAGCTAGCGGGTGGTACTGCCTCGGTCGACTGGTCCTTGTCTACCACCTTCTTTTTACGTGTTAGTGATGTTAAATAGACCTAAAGTGGCCTGTTGGCGGACTTGTACCGCCACCCGGCAATCGGTACTGAGGTATTCCTTAACGCGTGCACAATCACTTGGACGGGAAGAAGTTGTACACTGGATACAACAACTTCCGGAACAGGCATTTGCCACGGCCCTTGCTCAGTAGGAGGAATTATTTCAGAACATTAAAATTTGTTCAGGGACAGGTAGAACAAGAGGTACATAATATATTTCCCGATACAAAGCGAGGAAAAAGAGGCATATTAAATGGCATCAATAACTGGAAACCTTGACGCCAATGATGGCGAACGTTTCGAAAATCTAATTCGAGAGCTTCAAAATAATCAAAGAGAATTGACTAACAGTATCACACAGAATAATGCCCTGTCAGTGTCTCTTATTGGTAAGTTCAATAAAACTGTTCAGCAAGTCTGTCATAATGATCAATTGCTGAATAATAAAATTAATACCATATATGCAATTGTCCATCGTACTACAATCGATTCAGATCAGCATAAATTCATAGTAGACACAGTATCTCAAAGTATAAACAGCTACGTAACTCTGTCAATATTACAAGACGTTGGAAATTCAATAATTTTTGCACGTCTTGGAACAATTCACTCTAGCATTATTTCAACCGAAGAAATTTTTGGGGAACTGAAACTATTGAGTTCAAGATTGGGCCAGGAAAAATTTGCGAGCCCAGTTTTACTAGATTACATACCAACTTTTGAAAAAATAATCAAAATCTCCTGTTATTCTGTGGGCAACAAAATTACATTCGTTTTATCACTCCCAATCTCATACTATGAGTCATTTGATTTATATCGTCTCTTTTCAATCCCGATATATTTTGAAGGTCAATTTAAGACTATCATCACAAAAGAGCCATATTTGGCAAAAAATGAATTGCACTTTGCACTTTTCGGCGACATTTGTACTGACATTACTCCTAAAAGGTTTCTCTGCGAAAAGACCAACTTGCAAGACATCAATTGTGAACTTGAACTAGTCAATGGAAGGAATGCCCCTGCATGTGCTCGAACTCCACTGATAATCAATCAGCCAAGTATCGAACGAATCCAACGGACTAATCAATGGGTATTGATCCTGCCACTACCAGAAGTTATCAAAATGGAAGAGGAGGAAGCTCAGAAATAGAAGTATTCAGCAACCAGAAGTCGAACTTCATCCTATTCAACTTCCGTGAAGAATTCTTCCGCGAAGTTGAATCTCAGGGGGGAGGAGTTATATCAACCGTTTCTGCTGATATGCCAGGAATACTGCCGACGATGCTACTAATTTCCTAGAAGAACTAGAGTTTACTTTATTGCTCTCAACACATTTTATAGTCAGTCAGATTTAAGCCTTTGTACTGTTAACATCATAATAACATTGTAATAATTTTGTAAAAGTACATTTTTGAGTTTTGTATTTTCGAATGAAACTTTTTTAAAAAGCGATCTCGAGGCATCGATCTTATAACTCATAGATTATATAGATGCGGCACCTGCTGTCGGTCCCTTTGATCTTCGTGTCCCCAACTGCTTACCACATTTCCCGAATGTCATATATAAAGCTAAAGAATCAAGAAATTTGTGTTTATTATTTCCCCAAATGCATTCAGGCCAGATAACTGATTTGTATTGGTAAAACTGTTTTGTGGTCACGTGTCAAAATATCCCACGGATAACCCCTAAATGTCACAGCAAGAGGAATCCCACCAAACGCATAGAACTCAAGTTGGCATTGATAGAACCTGATTTTTGACAGAGTGTCGCCTCTGGTAGTACTCTGTGGCACCACATTGATGCAGATGGAACTATCAGGGTACGTTCAAATTGCCAAAAACATCATTTTCATGTCATTATCATACAAAGCTGTAAAAATAATTAACAATATATTGCGTTTATGGCTAATCCCATAACTAAATGAGATAATAGTTTTCGTTGAATTATATCGTCGTCTAAGTTCTAACACAGCGTAACTCAAAACTGAAAATTTGTTGGAAGAGCAAAAAACGACGAATCTTGGGATTCTATATCGAATAAATCACATATCGTGATGGCGCCATATTTTAAGTTACGCGGTCTTGAACTTTAAGTGACGATATGATTTAAGAAAAACCTATTTCCAACGACGTCGCCTTCAGGAGCCCGTTTCTCCGGAATCAAGAGGTGTTTCGCAAATCACGAGGATCAAGTACAATAGTTTCTGAATACTCCCAAAATTCACCGATTGGATTCTTGGGAAACACCCTGTACATCACTAAACCAATACAATACCATCATGCTAAGTTACAAATAAAAAGTGTTAAAAATATGAAGTACTATAACTATATCTCTAATAATAAAAATAATATTAATGATAATAATAATAATTTATTCATCGTGTGGATCACAAAGTGAATATTTGTATGAACAGAATTGTATACATGCATAAAAAATATTCGAATATCAAAAAAATAAAAAACACGAGGTGCATAAACATCAAAATAAATTTAAATGACTACAAAATTAACAATGTCAAATTTATTAAAACAATTAAAAGATACCATCCTTCATTTAAAATTCTTCTATAGAGTAGAAAGCTTTATCCTATAAAATTTGCCTGATTCTTTTTTCAAATAATGTTAGAGTTTTATTGCCATGTATTTGACATTCTCCTGCATTCTGGATAACGTATGTGACGGGAGCTCCAACACTTCTCTGTTTCTGGTACTGTAAATTCCAGAATCTATAGAACTAAGATTTCCCAGGTGTTTTCACGTAAATCAATATATTTGATGTGTATATGGAAGACAGCGTTGTGAATAGTTCCTTAAAGCTATTTATGAGCTGTTAGTTGAAGAGAGCGAGATTTGAACACTCTTACTGTTAGATAACTATGATGCATAATACTTACCATCGCCTTTGAATCAAATGAAACCCCTTTTCTCTGATCTTATCCGTCAAAAAATGTTTTTATCAAATTTGCTCACAGTGTTAAAGGCGCTCGTTAAAATGTTTTTCTTTTATTCCTGTCCGATTATCTGAATTTTCAGTTAACTACATTAATCATAGAACACTTGACTCAATTTCCAATAATGCACTAATGGACCAAGCCGAAAAATGCAGTATCACCATTTAATTTATATTTGCGTCAAGCTGAACGTACAGGCAACCAGACTTAAGCAACCCAATATGTGTGTAAAAATAAAAAAAATGTTACCCTGTTTTATAAAGTATCCTCCCGACAAGTATTTCAGTGCGGACCTGTATTTGATCGTGCGGTCTTGGAGCACCGGCATGCCCTCCCCTGTGAGGTCTTAAGTCACCTGATTCACGAGCCCTTTGTACTACATTAACAAAGGCACGAAGGATTGGTTGCACTCGATCGGTAAACCGATCCGCATAAATCCGTGATGCCGCGGCAGCATTTTGTAAGGACTCCCCCCCCGTAAATAAGAATCATGTCCACAAGTTCAGGATTTTCGTCAACATGTGCCATTTTTTATTTCGTTTGAGCCACGCGACAAATACCACTATTCACTCACGCGTTACCGACTGACACATTGACTGAATACAACTGAATAAATTTGTAGTAAAAACATCGTGATAAGCGTTTCAAATTCTTTCGCTTTTTTGTTTCCGATGCGATGAACCGATAAGGCGGATTATATCCGTTGTTGCCAAACACGAGCACATAATATTATTATTGAGACAGGGCGGTACTCAAACTTCTAAAGGGCTATAACTTTGTTACTTTAATTTCACCACAAAAATGTTAAAGGAAAAAACATTTCTTTTGATCAGATCTACTCACTGTTAAAATAAATGACTCAACTTCGAAGTCACTCTGTATATATTACAAACTTATGCTAAAACACTTTCTATACCTGCCTCCCTGTCTTGGAGAATCTTTATCAACCACTACAAAGCTATGTGGCTCTTGCCAACACAAACTGCACAAGCTTTTAAATTCGTTGAATGACATGTCTAGACTGATATGATCATCATAGATATGCTTCAGATTCAAATTATCTTGAGGAAATAGTATGAGTAGGTTTATGTTATCCCTTAAATTATGTTTGGGTGCGGCAGTATACGTTTGACAAAGATAGAAACAGTCTGTATTACGATGTCGTCCAAAACTGAAATATTGTCTTATTATATCCTGATTACATGATGAAACGTCGTCAAAAATTATTACGGATGTTTTCTGGGGTCGCAATGTTTTCATCTTCACTGTATTCATAATACCCTATTTCGCGAAGCGGTGTTAGTAGTTCTCGTAAATATTTGTACTTGGGTTGGTACAGCGACTTGCAGTACAGATAAACGTTCTCAAATCTCAATCCATTAGGATGTGTTAACAAAATGATCATTACATTAGTTTCTCCAGATCTGCTTGGGCCTACAACTAACGCGCGCTTAGACATACCATTGAATAGGTTACCATGTTTTCTAAGCGCACTATCCTGTGCAAGTCCATCAAAATTCCTCACAGGTACTTGTAGGGCTGATGTTTCGATCTTCATTCTGATAGCCTATAAATTGTACTGACATCAATACTTCTGGCACGGTCTACTATATATCTGAGAACCGTTACTTGATAGAAGCATATAAAATGACTGCATTCCATGCGAGTAGAAACAATCACAAACCGACCGTTACAGTGCATGGTACGGGTTTCATAAATAAACATATTGATAAACTACCACTTGAATTGCACATCCCGGGATATAATTTCTGTGGACCGGGAACATAGTTAAAGCAACGCATTCTGAGAGGTGATACCGGAATTAATCGCTTAGACGAGGCCTGTAAGCAGCACGATCTTGTTTACGCTACCTCCAAACAAAGTGACATTCGTCGTAAACCCGATAACCTCTTAATTGATCATGCCCTCAAGCGGGTTGCTGCATCGGATTCATCGCTTGGTGAAAAAGTAGCTGCATTGGGTGTCTCAGCGGTCATGAAGATGAAGGAGAAATTGGGTAGTGGCATGAGTCGAAAAGAGTTTTCTTCTCGTATTCGCAAATCACAACGCATTGTAGGATTGCGAAAGAAGTAATAAGCGGACAAGCTCTCCGTAAAAAACGACGCATCACAAAAAAGTCGAGACTTTCACCGATGCCTAAAAAAGGGGGATTATTACCTATCCTCCTTCCTCTACTTGGTGCCCTAGGTGCACTTGGTGGTGGAGCGGCGTCAATTGCCAAAGCAGTATCGGATGCGAAAACCAGTCAGGCTCAGCTGGCTGAACAAAAACGTCACAAGCGTTAGAACAATCTAAACAAGGAAAAGGGTTATATTTGAACCTTATAAAAAAAAGCTAAAAAAAATCCCTCGTCATGCTCTTACTAATATAGAGTTACTTCAATTGGCTAAACAACTGAGAATTCCAAAATTTAGGGGAGTTTTTATGAGAGATGATTTACCGCATCAAATTTGAGCTAAAGAATGCGGTATTATTAATTTAGATAATTCATCAGATGTTGGATCCCACTGGACTGCATATGTAAAAAACAACAATCATGTCACATACTTTGATTCATATGGTAATTTACGTCCCCCCAGAGAAGCTGTGCATTATTTTCGCAGCAATCATGATGTCTCTGATATTGAATACGATTATGAATCCATTCAATCATTCAACTCAGCTGTGGCGTTTCCTATACAGGGTGACTTCGAAGTTGAGTCATTTATTTTAACAGTGAGTAGATCTGATCAAAAGAAATGTCTTTTTACTTTACCATTTTTCTGGTAAAATTAAAGTAACAAAGTTATAGCCCTTTGGAAGTTTGAGTACCGCCCTGTCTCAATAATAATATAATGTGCTCGTGTTTGGCAACAACGGATATAATCCGCATTATCGGTTCATCGCATCGGAAACAAAAAAGCGAAAGAATTTGGAACGATGTTTTTACAATTATTTTATTCAGTTGTATACAGTCAGTGTCAGTCGGTAACGCGTGAGTGAATAGTAGTGTCTGTTGCGAAATCAAAAATGGCACATGTTTACGAAAATGCTGAACTTGTGGACATGATTCTTATTTACGCGGCATCACGGATTTATGCGGATCGGTTTCCCAATCGAGTGCAACCAACCCCTCGTGCCTTTGTTAATGTAGTACAAAGGGCTCGTGAATCAGGTGACTTAAGACCTCACAGGGGAGGCATGCCGGTGCTCCAAGACTGCACGATCAAATACAGGTCCGCACTGAAATACTTGTCGCGAGGATACTTTATAAAACAAGGTAACATTTTTTTTTTTATTTTTACACACATATTTTGGTTTATTTTCCTTCTACAATCATGCTCTGAAAATTAATGTCTCAACTTCAAAGTCACCCCGTATAAAGCTAGTGCAAGGTTCAATCAATGAATATTATCGACTACCTTTCAACGCATACATCATGTTGATGACATTTACCCTTTCTGACAATTATTCTACGCTTCAAGCTGACTTCGATGCTCCAATCTATCTTTCAGATGATGATGCGTATGAAATTGGGTTGTGTGATTTTGAATCCTTCAATGTCATTCCTAATGTTGATGCTTATATATATATATATTTGTATATTCTATATCTTCAATTGCCAGTGATCGCCAATCGTTTAAACTTCCTATCGGTTCCTATGAAATTTCAGAGTTCGCTACCGTCTTACAACAAAAACTTCCATCAGGACTGCAAATTAGTCTTACTGCCAACAAAACTACATCCACCGTCACTTTACAAGCCAATTGTGACATCGATTTTTCTTCAAAAGATACTATTGGTCGCATGTTGGGCTTTGAACCCCGAATTTTGCAAAAAAAATATACTGCATGAGTCCGATTTCGCAATAAGAAATATTAAAAGCAAATGCACTCTGTATCGAGTGTAGCATAGCTGCAGGTTCTTTCAGAAATGGACAACCCAGCCACATCATCCATCAATTTTCCCAACTGTTCTGGCTGGGTATAAAATAGTGGACGCACCGCAAAACATAATTTATTTTCCTGTGAGTGTTAGTACGATCAACACCTTGACTGTTAAATTACTTGATCACAACAACGACCTTGTAAACTTTAGAAACGAGACCATTATCATACGTTTACACTTGCGCAAAATACGTAATGGGTATTAGATACAATATTCCACATTCGGTGCTTTCCAATCGAACCTATAAAAACAAGATTCGCAGAGTTTCTACTGTTAGTACTCCACCAACCAACGTACCTTCACCTCGTCCAAATTATAGACGTCGTCTAACGATTGATAATCGTCAGTTTTTAAAGTCGTTGGGATTTTAATTGATCTAACATGAGCATTTTGAACGTGACAGAACAGCCATTACTTGACACCTCCATTACTGAAATGGAGTATCACACCTATCAACCGTGCATTAATGCTAATTTTGATTATAATGATGAAATTGCTATTCAAGAATTGGATACCTTCACTTTACCGTCCCAAAGCTATCTTTACCTTGAAGGAACACTCACTAAAGCTGATTGTTTTCCATCTGAAAACTTTAAATTTGTCAATAACGCATTTAGCTTATTGTTCGGAGAAATTCGATATGAGTTGAATGGTGTTGTTGTTGATCTGTTCGAAACGTCGGACTCACTTCTACATTGAAAGGTTATCTTTCTTACAATCAAAATGAAAGTACTAAATTACAAAATGCTGGTTGGTATCCCAAAGAATCTCACTTTTTAGTAACCGGTAAATTTAACGTATGCATTCCTCTAAGCATGTGGATGGGCTATTTTGAAGACTACCGCAAAATTATGTTAAATATGAAACAGGAATTAGTACTCGTACGAAGTAATGATGATATTGATGCAATTAAGGTCGCTACCGCCGAAACACCCAAAATTAATATTGAAAAAATACAGTGGCGAGTCCCTCATGTTTCCGTCGACATTCCTCAACAATTGGCTTTGACAAAACAAAAATATTGATATTCCACTGTACTTCCGGAGTTGGGAACTCGTTGAGTATCCCTCCCTTCCCGCTACGACAAGACATACGTGGCCAGTGAAAACAACTACGAAGCTGGAAACACCGAGGCATGTGATACTCGCTTTTCAGACAGATAAGAAAAACCAACTACAGTCAAATATGTCTACGTTCGATCACTGCAAGCTAACCAATGTTCGAGTGTTTTTAAATTAAGAACGATTTTCTTATAATGATCTCTCTCTGGACTTCCCCAGTAACAAATATGCTGCCTTGTATGACATGTTTTCAAAATTTCGTCATTCATATTATGAATCCGAAAATGAACCATTGTTTACCCTTGATAACTTTAAAAGTTTGGCACCCATTTCGCATATCGACTGCTCTAAGCAGAAGGAAAGTATTCAAACCGCTTCGGTTGTAATGAGAGTCGAATATTGCTTATTGCCTTATTCTCCACGATCGTCCTTTTTATTACAACCCTTTGACAAAAATCGTTAAACAACGTTAAACTTTTGAGTCTATAAAAACCTCATTTTCCACATTTCCTGGTCAGTTTTATTATGAAGCTCCTTTACTACAAAGCTCTCGAGCGATACGTCTCCAAACTTAAACAGTTAAGACAAGACATTGAATCATATTGCTTGCAACAGTGTGTTTTCTCCATCAGTTTGCTGTTTTGCGAATATGAATCTTGTTTTGGATGTGCAAGGATTCAAAATCGAACATAATAAATTTATTGTTAAAGAACTTGCTGGGTATGATGGACAACAAATATGTCACTATGTCTTCAAGCCCCCTTTTGCACTGGATCTGCTCCCACCGGACTTACAAACAAGCTACTTGGTTGATGCAGCATCATCACTGTATAAATTGGAACTCTGGTTTTACTCCACTACATACCTTTCCAAAAATTATGGATGACTTAACGGAGCATGCAGATCGAATTTTCGTCAAAGGAATCGAAAAAGCAAACTACTTGAGATGGTTTTCCCGCAAAGGCGTCATCGAATTTGTCGAACAGCCTCGTTTAGAACCCGCTAGCACTGCATGTTTCTATCACTCCAAGCCTATCACCATTTGTGCACTATCCAACGTATTTTATTTGTATAAGAACTTTATCATGTCATAATTTTTTAAATAAAACAATTATTAAGACATATTAGCTTTTTTTATTCAATGAGTTGTCAGGAAACAGCATGTAAATGGTTATCGATATGTATTTACAGGAATATTTACACAAATTACAGAACATCTTTTCATTTGTACAATCACACGGCATCGACATTTTGATTCTATTAATTGCGATTGCAATACGTGCACTCTAAACTTCACTATTTTAAGCGTGGGTTTTCCCTTTTTTCTTTATATTACATTACAATTTTATTTTACAGTTAAAACTTACAAAACCTAACTTCATACTGTAAGGCTTCCTTTCCGCAAAAAGGCCAGAAAAGATGGAATGCAATGAAGATTACAATTTTCTGCACAATCACAGAAAGGGGGTTACCATTAGCTTCCGGTAGATCAGTCGGTGGCATGAAGACATCTACAAGCGTGAGCTGTGTGTCGACCATGGCATGGCTAGAGGATAGAAGAACAAACAGAACACAAAAATTTAACAGATTTTATTTAACTAGAAAAGCATTTTCATTGCATTTGAGAATTAACATTGTTGAAATTTTAAAGAACAAAATAAAAGATTTA